TTTCCAGGTACACCCCCGCCCACCCTGGGCTCACTGCTGAGCTTGGCACACAGCCAGTGAGGCAGGAGGAGGGGACCCCAGGAGGATTAACAAGGAGTAGGCCCCAAGACAGAGTGTGTTGCCCCTCAGGAGGGACCACCCCAGGGCTGTAGAATTGATTGAAGCAGTAGACAAACTCCAGAACTGAGGAGTTTAGAATACGTGTATGTGGAGCCCCCTAAGTTTTGGATTTTCGGTCTCAGAGTGAGAAGGGCCCCTAACATTGTGGATTTTTAGGTCTCCAGAGAAAAGAATCCAGACATCTGGGTTTAAGAGTGTTGGAATGGGGCGTGCCCAGATGGCTCAGTCAGTTAAGCTTCTGAGTCTTGATTTTGGCTCTGTTCATGATCTCAGTGTTGTGAGATGAGCCCAGCATCAGGCTCTGCGCTGGGCTGGGCAGGGAGCCTTCTTAAGATTCTATCTCTCCCTCTCCTCCCTCTGCACCCCCCTCTCCTTCTGCCCCTGCTCTCCCTCTGCCCTCTGTCCCCCCGACTCCCCTGCCCCCTGCCAGTGCTACCTCACTCTTTCTCTAAAAAGAGAAAGAAAGAGAGGAAGAAAGGAAGGAAGAAGGAAAGAACAAAGAAGGAAAGAAGAAGAAAGAAGAAAGAAAGAAAGAAAGAAAGAAAGAAAGAAAGAAAGAAAGAAGAAAGAAAAGAAGAAAAGAAAGAGAAAGAAGAAAGAAAGAAAGAAGAAAGAAAGAAAAAGAAAGAAGAAAGAAAGAAAGAAAGAAAAAGAAAGAAGAAAGAAAGAAGAAAGAAAGAAAGAAAGAAAGAAAGAAAGAAAGAAAGAAAGAAAGAAAGAAAGAAAAAGAAAAACAGTTGAAATGGGACAGCATGTGTGGCTGTCGTTGTGGATTTGGGATTTTTGATGAGGAGGAATGCATGTTTAAAGGTCTCAGGAGGGGAGCAGGTTGTTGGGTGGCTCAGTCAGTTAAGCATTGGACTCTTGATCTCGGCACAGGTCTTGATCTCATGGTCATGAATTCAAACCCAGCGTAGGGTTCCAGGCTGGGTGTGGAGCCTACTTTAAAAATAAAAAGGGTCTCCCTGGCTCTCTCCCCACTCAGGAGTTTTCCCAAACCTCTCCCGCCATCGCTCCCTCTGTGTGCTGCCAGCAGCCCTGCCAAACCCAGAATCACCCCAGAGGGACCTCCCACACCCTCCCACCCCACCTCCTCTTCTCGAGTGCCCCCTTCCCACTGGTGGGGAAACCCAGCCCAGGAAGGGGGAGTAAGCATGCAGACCAGGAGACACAGGAGCCCCTGCCCTCCCTCTGTTGTCTGTCCTCAGGATTCTCACACACCAAATGGGAACATTAGTAACATGACTACTAACAGCAACAATGGAAATGATGAACCTAGTGAGCTCCCCCAGGGATCTGGGTAGGACCGGTGAGGCTTTCTGTAAATTATGCCCCTTGAGACAGTTGGGATTCTTTGGCACCAAATGGGTGGATGTCATTACTATTTCCAAGTCCTGCCCAGGCCCTCTGCCCCAGAGACCCCAAGTTACTCTTCCTTCCTAAGAAAGGTTCCACTTAAACGTGGCTCTGGACTTCTACCCCTTTCCCAACCACAGACAGGCAGTGACACTGATCCTGACCTTGCTCTGAGGT